ACTTGGTTGGAAACGGTGCTTGTTCGCAAATGTTTTGTGCGATATTCCAATTTTGCGCATAAGTTAAATTCGCAACTTTGGATGGAAACCCGGCTATTCACTCACCCTTGTCTTTTCCAAACCCAGATTTTAATTCAGTCTTTTGTTCACATTTAAACACTGATCAACACACATAAATAGAGCCAGGGCTGTAAGTGAACTTTTTTTGCACATAGCACTGGTGCTACAGAGGATTAAAGTTTTGTAGCACAAGCCACACTAATGTAGTGCAAATATAAAATGTCTCTAAAAACAACCACAAGCTGTGCAGTTCATCACTTAAAAGGGTCATATGATGCTGCTAAAAAGAACATTATTTTGTGTATTTGGTGTAATGAAATGTGTTTATGCGGTTTAAGGTTCAAAAAACACATTATTTTCCACATACTGTACATTATTGTTTCTCCTCTATGCCCCGCCTTTCTGAAACACGTCGATTTTTACAAAGCTCATCGGTCTGAAAAAGCAAGGTGTCCTCTGATTGGCCAGCTATCCAGTGCGTGTGATTGGCCGAATACCTCAAACGTGAGACGGAAATGTTACGCCCCTTACCATATTGTGATGATGCCCTGTCAGGCCGGAGCGATGATTCAACAACATGAAAACCCATTATAAACAAGGCATTCGTTGCATCCAGTGGGGACATAATTATGGATTATAATGACTTATACTGTCTTTTTACGCGTTGCGTTGCATCACGCCGCGTATGCTAAAACTGGTATTGTATTGCATACCTGCTGCTGTCATAATAAAGACCCATTTCAATTGTTTACGTGCTTCTCTCTCTGCTCCCAGTCGCTGTGGTGGAGCAGTTATGAAGCCTATTGTTCTTTTAAATACTTTCCAGCATTTTGGAAATAAATAAAATATGTATGCAAAATACACCGAAGTAGAACAGTTAGCTTACCGTACGGTGTTCGGGAGTGGGTTTAAAAAAGGGTTTAAACACTGAATTTTGAATAGATTTCTTCTTGTAAACTCAGAGATGGGGATTCGGACAGCAATTAAATTACCACACGACCTTGGTGTTTGTCAAAAAACAGTAGGTAATTCGGCCGGGGATTTTTACGGGGGTGGTGAGAGATAAACACCGACATCCTGGATTTGGACGGCAATTAAATCACAGACTACCCCTTGTAAATGGTGAAAATCTGAAACCCCTGAGAAACAATTACCGTACGAATAGGGCTTAAGAAGAACTCTTATTTGCAAACCTGCAAACTCACCCAAACCGAGACACTCCTTGATTGAAGTGCTTTAGTGCATCATTTAGAAGAGGATGTTTATCTATCACAAAAGGCTGATCAATCGCGATTAATAATTTTAATCCATTGACAGCCCTGCTCAAAACATTAAACATGTTATAGATTTTTTAAAAACACATAGCACCTGATCTCCAATCTGAAATATACGCTCACTTTCTGAGAAGATTGCCAAAAGGTTGTTGTAGAAGGGGCTCAACCTCTGCCCTGCCGTAGTCTAGTAATGCAGCTTGACTCTCTGACCATGCATCATGGTTGAATGTTCTGAAGCAATCAACTACACCTTCTCCTGACTGACTCAGCAAACAGCTGAAGCGGGATCTCATCTGATCTACTGCAGTGTAACCGCTGCTGCCACATGCAGATTACTGAAAACATCACCAGTCAAGGGAATTTGCTCTTTCAGATCCATGCTCTGAAAAACATTTTAACACCAAAAGCAAAATACTACTGGCACTTTAATATACAGCATGAGACTGAAATCAGAAACAGGCTAGAATTGACATGAATCAAAGTAATGTTAACTGGAAACTTTTTTTAAAACAACAGGAGTCATATAACAAACTATAGAGCAACTACAACAGAATAAATATACTAATTAAATAAATATACAAATGAAATAGTGTTTCTTTTGGTAGAGTATCTCTATTTAACAATAGTAATCAAGTCACAAATAATACTGAAATCAAAATAAATTAATAATATCTTATCTGTATGGAATAAATAGATTCTTATTAAAGCTACTAATGTGTGTTCTCTGTGCTTTTAGTTTTTAACATGATCGGGACAAACAGCAGCAGGTTTATGAGGCGAATGCACGGATCCAGTGTAGTGACACACATGTAATTTACTCTAACATCAGACAGACATAAGTATATACAAAACAACAAGAACATACAAAAGTAACAGCAGTGTAATTCACAATTCACCACAGGAGGGCATTAGGAGATTATTTCTTTAAAGGGGTCATATGATGCGATTTCAAGTTTTCCTTTCTCTTTGGAGTGTTACAAGCTCTTGGTGCATAAAGAAGATCTGTAAAGTTGCAAAGACTAAAGTCTCAAATCCAAAGAGATATTCTTTATAAAAGTTAAGAGTTAACCACGCCTACCTAAAACGGCTCGTTCTAACATGCCCCCACCTGTCTACGTCACGATGTGGGAAGATTTGCATAACGCCGCCCAAATGTTCACGCAAAGAAAGGCGGCGTAACTTTTATTCTTGCTGTAGTATTGTTGCTGCCGCCATGTCGTGAAGATGCTGTGTGCTTCGTTGTGAAAGCGAAACTACTTTGTTTGGTCTTCCAAAAGAGGACGATATCCGCTTCGTCATGCCTAGAGCTGATCCGTGCTGGTCGCTGAGGAAATACTTCAACTTTCACCGTGGACGAAGCGGAATCCAGCCCGGGGTCCGTCACATGTGGTTGCCGCTCATTCGTCGGATCCGCCGGGCGCGCCGTTCTCGACCCCGCCGCCTCAGCTCACTCTTGCCCGGCTTCAGCTCAGGCTAAGCCGGGGCTTTCGCTCACGCTAGGCCGCTGTGTTTTTCGTTGTGAAAGCGAAACTACTTTGTTTGGCCTTCCAAAAATGGACACGACTAGGAATCAGTGGTTAAGTTGTATTTACAACACTGTTCCAGAACAGTTTAACCCAAATATTCAGATGTGTGCAGTGCATTTTATGGAGGACTGTTTCCTGATCCTGGTAGAGTAGACTACAATGCCGGCTGTTCTGACTCACAGACTGTAAGTACGTTTTTTTATATTTAAAGAGTTTTTATATTTTATATATTTAAAGCGAGTTTTTTGGGCAGTGTAGAGTAGCGCTTGTTGTTTGTCATTTCTCCGATCACAAATGCAGACATGGTTTTATGTTTACGCGATGCAACGCGTAAAAAGACAGTATAAGTCATTATAATCCGTAATTATGTCCCCACTGGATGCAACAAATGCCTCGTTTATAATGGGTTTTCATGCTTTTTGTTTCGTCGCTCCGGCTGGGACACGGCATCATCACAGTATGGTGAGGGGCGTAACATTTCCGTCACACGCTTGAGGTATTCGGCCAATCACAACGCACTGGATAGCTGGCCAATCACAGCACACCTTGCTTTTCAGACCGATGAGCTTAGTAAAAATCGACGCGTTTCAGAAAGGCGGGGCATAGAGGAGAAACAATAATGTACAGTATGTGGAAAATAATGTGTTTTTTGAACCTTAAACCGCATAAACACATTTCATTACACCAAATACACAAAATAATTATCTTTTTAGCAACATCATATGACCCCTTTAAATGTATATAACAGCTATAAATAAATCTACTAAACGAAATGTGTAATTTGCCAGATGTTTATTGCTGCACAAAGTAAATAACAATTTATTAAATATTAAAAGTATGCAAAATGATTTAATGCAAGGTTTTCCTTGATTTAATGATCTCTGTATTTGTACGTCTCTGTTGTGTATTTTTAATAAACTCTGTCAATTTAAAAGTCAAACATATTCTCTGATTTCTTTGTCATGTTGACATTAGGCTGCCTATGTTAGAGCTCTGAAATCAAAAAGATGTTTCTCTTTATCCTCTACAAGCAATGTTAAGGACAGATGTTGAGATTTATGTCTGTCTGAAAAACACTAGTCAATGTAAGACTAGAATCAGCAGGAGCGACACATGCTGGACCTGAGAAAAGATTGCTGAGTATTTACTACATTTAACATACTACAAGAACCTCTGACATATGTTTTGTTATTTATGTGTTTTCTGAATGTATGTAATGTATTTCTATGTACCTACATTTCTCTGCACTATTCAGGACTTTTATTTTGGTCTGGCGATGTGACGTCATAAGGCTACGCCGCGCTCCTGCATCTGTGATTCGGCTGTAGAAAGGCGAGTGCTTTTAATCATTTAATGTCTTTAAATCAACAAAATATGTTTAGAGAAGCGTGTATGAAACTGTGAAATTAATTATTAACCAATGTAACACTTTAATGCAAAAAAAGTGCGTCTCATTTCGTTCGCTGGCTAGTAGTGATGAGAAACGGAGCTTTGCGAAACTCCGAGTCAACTGAATCAAATGCATCGCTAAATGATTCACTGTTTTGAATCGCTCGAATCAGCGCAAACTGACGACTTCTGCTGCTCTAAACAGTGTAAATGCAACGAGAACAACAAACACAAACTTGTGTAACGACTACTTTTACAAACCAACTGCAGGCGTTTTCATTAAAGTGGAATCTAATGATTTGTAGATTATATATATAATTAAATCATAATACAAATGCGAAACTTTGTGTATTTTGTGTCTTTCTGTTTGTTTGAATGCTAGTTTTGGTTGTTTTTTGTCTCATCAAGTCCATTACATATCTCTCTGACTGACTCCCTCACCAGTGTGCTGACTACTGAACTAGGGATCTGATTTGAGACACACCCAGAGATTTAGTTTGCACTTATTTTTCTTTCTGCTAATTATTCTCATCTTAAACAGGACAAAGTGTCCAAACACACAGAAAAACTCCACGTGACACTATTATAAAGATGGAGAGTGAAGACATGAAGATTGAAGAAGCATTCAGAGTCAAACATGAAGATACTGAGGAACAAACAAAGATGGCATTTATTAAAGATGAGAGTGAAGACGTAAAGATTGAAGAAACATTCAGAGTCAAACATGAAGATACTGAGGAACAAACAAAGATGGCATTTATTAAAGATGAGAGTGAAGACGTAAAGATTGAAGAAACATTCAGAGTCAAACATGAAGATACTGAGGAACAAACAGGTTGGTTTTCATTCTTAAAGCTGAACTCATTCATTTGATCCTTATTAAAATGTCCAGCTGTACCGAAATGAATTATATTTTTGAAGAATGCCATATAAGTGTCGTCACTAAAGCGGTTTAATTTGTCATGAAGCCTCATGTGGTCAGACATGTTGAGGTCACATGACCAGACAAAACACTAACACTGCCTTCAACCGGAGAAGATATTGCTTATAAGTTAGAAGTTTATGACAGGACACACATTAATAAATTATAGTACGTGCTTTAGGATAATATACAGATATAGCCTAAACAAAACAATTATTATGTGTAATGTTAAAGGGATACTCCACCCAAAAATTAAAATGCTTTCATCATTTACTCACTCTTATGCTGTATGTGATGTATATGACTTTCTTCAGATGAACACAAAGATTCTTAGAAAAATAATGCATCTCTGCGTCCATATAGACACAGCTGTCACACATGCATTCATGAGCTCAGACTCAGTGCTGCTGTAAACCCCAGCACTTTATGAGGCTCCCACAAGCTTTACAACATAAAGGTTCATATTTTCACAGTACAGAATTTTCCAGTAGCTTTACAGGAAATTATATTGAATAAAAAAGTGTCTTGTGTTACCAAAGTTGATACATCAGAGGCTACAGAAGGTAACAGGACTTGACTACAACTAGTAAATCAAATTTACTAACAAAACACTTTTACAACTCTTATCAGTACAGCCCTCCATTCGGGGTAAATGGTAAGAATCGGGAACTTGACTGTATTGATCTTCCTAAATATTCCAACAGGCTTTGGATCAGGTAAACATGAAGAACTCCATGAACTTCCACTAAGCTCAGCCAACTGTCATTCAGTAAATACTTCACTTCATTACCTGCATCACCTTTATCTTCTTCTGAATAACTCTGTATACATGGTGCCTAATAGGAGGACCAATGACCGTGATGTCATGTTGAAAAACTATAGTTTGTCTTGGTAAAAGGGGGGAAAAATCTATTTATATTTTAGCTTTTAAAAAGCCTTTATTTACAGAGATACATATAAAGAAACAACAACGGTTTTCAGGTTAAACAGGCCTTATCAGGGTGCCAAACAAAAGAGAACAGGAAGTGTTTTAATAGGTTCACCTGTATCTATACATTTATCAACGTTGACCACTAGATGTCTGTTAGGAGAGAAAAAAGTATAACAATACATAAAAAATCTCAGTTCAACAACATCAACATGAAATGTTTTACAACATCAGAAAATGACAAAAATGGAGAAAAACTTTATGCTGCCTTCACGTGCTATCGGAATTATCGTAAATATGAGTTTCCTAATCGGAAATTACACGTGAACGCCTCTCAGGTCGTATTTACTACTGGGAAATTCGGAAATAATTTTGATACCAGTTTCCGAGTTGGGCGGGTCATAATCTTTAAACATGGTGGAGGGGACAACCATTGCTGCTGTCAATGCTGTTCTCACAACAACTACATCCCTTTGTCTTGTCGCTAAAGTAGTGTATTTATAGGCTAGATATGAACGATCATTCGAAGCATATTGTATGTTTTATTACAAGCAGTGAAATAAGCATGTATTTGACTGTAATTCCAGAATTGTCAGCAAACAGCATGTGTAGCGTGGTGAATGTTTATGATAGTCAAACAATGGGATGCTACATTTTATTCTTTCCGACATTAAAGCACTTGAATACAACAAGCTCGTAATCATGACTTCATAAGTGGGAAATAGGATATTTCCGATAGCACGTGAAGGCAGCATTAATAAGGACAGTTTTGTGCTACAGTGGGGCTTAAATACTGACTGAAATACCATTTTGTTGTAAAACTGAACATTGGGATTGGTCTATAATAAACCATTTCTCCTGGGTCAAGTGATGAGGGGTTTGATAAATGCCAGCTTACTTGGACTGACACAACTCCGCTTTCACTGGCTTAGTCCATGTAGAATCTAGCAAGCATGTTGTTGGTTTGGATGTCTGTTGCTGTGTGCTATTAAACTGGTGTTAAATTGTATTTGTCTTTCTTCATTTTAGACCTGATGGTGCTGAAAGAGGAGAGTGAAGTACTAGCTGAAATGGAAGTGAAAGATCACTATGAGAAAATACATCACGATTTCAAGAATGGAGAAAAATTCTGTGAAACTGAAAAGACTTCCTCACAAAAAAGAGCTCAGAAGACCAAATCTAACAGTTACTTCACCTGCCATCAGTGTGGAAAAAGCTTCACTCAAAAAGGAAGCCTTAAAAGCCACATGATAGTTCACACTGGAGAGAAGCCTTATACATGCACTCAATGTGGAAAGAGTTTTACATATAAACACACTCTTAATGACCACATGAGGATTCACACTGGAGAAAAGCCTTTCATCTGCCAACAGTGTGGAAAACATTTCACTCAAAAACAAAACCTTACAGTCCACATGAGAATCCACAGTGGAGAGAAACCTTACACATGCCATCAGTGTGGACAGAGTTTCAGGCATAACAAAAACCTCTATACCCACATAAGAAGTCACGCTAGAGAGATTCCTTTCACCTGCAAACTGTGTGGCAAGAAATTCTCCAATAAAGAAATTCTTAATGCCCACGTAAGAATTGACACTGGGAACGAATTCACGTGCCAACATATGTGCTCAATGTGGATGAAGTTTCGCACATAAAAAAGTCATTTGTATGGTCAGCGAGGAAAGAGTTTCAGATTTACAGTAATTCTTAATCCCCACATGAAGAATCACTCAAGAGAGAACAGTTTTATGTCATCAGTGATGGAAGGACAACTGAGGGACTCATACGCAACTAGTACAGAAGGTTCAAACGCTCACTGATGCTCCAGAAGGAAAAACGATGCATTAAAGGTCCCATATTGTCAAAACTGAAATTTCCTGGCTTTTTTCGTGATAACTGAGGAATAAGGGCTATGTAACTACCATATAAGTTTCAAAACAGTCAATCCACAGACAAATGCGCACAGCCTGCATAAAGTAGCTGTTCCTTTTCACGAGCCGTTGTGACTTCCGTAAAAATGTGACGTCAGAACTACACAGTCACCGCCTTCAGTCACCACCCCGAGCACCGCCCACCGTCCCACTCTCCTTTTGCCAAACCCCC